CTAATATCTTCAATCACATATGAATATACTTGGATACCTTTAAAATGTGCTCTTTCAATAAATCGTCTATGCTCTGGTAGCAATTTTCAGAGTCATCATGGTATTCCTCCTCTTTACCAAAGTCAAATTTCTTTCCTTTACCATCTCTTCCGCCATTCTCCATTCGTTCTGCACTTATATCTTTGATAGCACCTTCTAGCCTCTCAAACCCGTCATGCATCATCCCAGTCATATCTGTCAGTCGAACTGACAATTGCTCCACTCTATCACGCATGGACTTCTGAAAGTCATTGACTTGTGTTTGACACACCACCAGCTTCTCTTGTGTGGCTTTCAACAATTTCATGATTTCACCCAAATCTTGATGCAGTCTCTCATCATGCGTCATCGTCTAAACAATTTAAAGAAAAATTCAAATCATAATTCAACTACAAATTTCTACAATTGACCAAAAAACAAAGACGTGGTCGACCTGACAAAGTATTAGGTCGACCTGGAAGACAAATAGTGACTACCACAACCATTACGGTCGACCTCTGTTCTTCCTAGGTCGACCTATCCAGCAGGAAAAATAACAATTAACAACAAAAAGTAAGTTCAAAATTAAAATGAAAAAAGCATAGGTCGATCAGATATCTGGCGCGGTCGACCTTTTCAAGCACAACATAGTCATACAAACAAAGACAAAGTCGACATTCATGTTGAATAACCAAAACAAACAGAAACGGTCGACCTTGAAACACATTAGGTCGACCACTTGGGTTGATCTTCGTTACCTCGCAAGTACAGAAGTCCAAGTGTTGTGCCCTAAATTCAAATACGAAGAATTGTCTCGTCAGGTCGACCTGGTTGATGTCACGGTCGACCGAATGGAATTCTGCACGCAACAATATATCAAATTAGACGGTGGAAATCACGCATTACAAAAGATGACGGTGAATGCTACATTAGGTCGACCTCACCTTCGACTTGGTCGACCACTTCCAACACGTACAACAGCAACCGTGAACGATCTTCTTCACAAAGGCTCTAAATCGGAAAAAAAAACCTAATTCAGACTTGGTGGTGTTGAATGGGACTTATATTCGTATTTATAGAGATTTAGGACATGAATGGGTCGACCCAATTCGTTTCCTTGTCCAATTGTGGAACCTTTCTGGTGTTCGAATCCTTATCCAATACGGATATGGTGTGACTGCGGTCGACCGCTTTATAATGCGGTCGACCTGTTAGGTGCACAATGGTCATCCTATGAGGTATTTGGGTCGACCTTTCATTCTGTTAGTCCACCAAAGAGGTCGACCATATTATGTAAGAGGTCGATCGCGTCTCGGAACCTCACATACATGAAATAGTCAGTCCGGTCGACCGCATGTTGGATTAGGTCGACCAAAAAGTCCATCTCACGGTGACATGCATGTCACCGTAGCAAAATCCTAATCAATTTTAGTTCAGTATTTTGAATATTTAATGTGTCGTTCAGGTCTATCATTTTTGTAATTGCAATATTCAATATTTTGTAAAGGTATTAGTGTTTTCCAATATTCGTGAAATTTCTAAGTTTAGCTTGTGCTTATAATCTAACTTTTAATGAGTGGACATCAAAATAATCTAAATGCTTTAAAATTTCAATTTTATTGGATATATGTTTTATTTGGAAGATGATATTACAATATGCATAAAGAGCTTTTGTTTAGAGTAAAACGAAATGCATCAAAGGTTATATTGAAAAAATTTGTGTTAAGATATTTTGTATTGAAATCGAGTTAAGTTGTAGCTCACCCGTTTCCTACCGTTAAAATTGCCTACCAATTTGGACCCGATATCTAGTATTTTCGATCCATCCGACATGCTAGAATTTCTTAAACTGATAAAAAAAGTATAAGAGTTTTCTATGTGAAAGAGGGAAATTTCATCAATTCTACCCAAACCTGAATTACCGGAGGAGAGATATTAAAATATTATAAAGATAATTAATTATCAAACTATGAAAGAAAACTAAATAACCAAAAAAAATACACTGTATGAAAAAAATTCCACAAAACATGGTAACTACCTGGCATAAAAAATAAGTAAAACAAGAAAAGCCGGAAGTTGCGGAGGGAGCTCCATGGCTTACGTGGAGGGGTCATTTTATGAAACCCCTTTAATATATTTAAAGAAAGAAGTTATCAAATCGATTTAAGTAGTTGAGTCGGTTAAACAAGTGATATGAAACTAAAACAATCGGAATCTAATTTGTTTTAATCATTTTATATATTTTTTTAAATATAATAATATATATAACAATAATTTAAATATTTAATAACTAAAATGAAATTACATGAACCATTTAGTAATTTATATCAAAGTATATATAAATTCATCTTAAATTTATTTATAACATAAAATATGTACTTTTACCTTAATACTCTATCTATATTCATCTAGCTTTTTACCCAATATCATTTCTATCTAGAAATAGCAATGGGCAACTACGAGGCGAGTATCTCGATACTAATACCCCCATCGTGGCAGGTTTGGTAAATTTATCATGGGGCACGAGTCGGGGCAGGTCGACCCAATGGGTATGTAATTTATGTTAAAATCATTAGAAATATTCATTATTTTCATTATAAATATCATTAAAGAAACCATAATATGATAAATATAGTTAAATTATTGGGAAAATTGGGATTTTCACTTATTTACAACTTTATTATAGCTAAATTATGAGGTAATAAGAGGAAAATTCTAAGTAATTTAACTAAGTTTACATGTAATTTAGGCAAGAACGGGTCAAGAATAGGGCGGTCGGGTCGATGAGAGGTACCCATACCCACCCCGCCTACGGGACAAGTCGAACCCGCCCCAAAACAGGCTAAACAGCTCGAGTAAAACAGGTCAGATCAAAATTGGCATTCCTATTTCTATCAATAAACTGAAAGAATTACATATTAAGTGTTAATCATGTTTGAATAACATGATACTGACAACCTTGTTGTGTTAGTATCATTAGCAGAGTTTATGATATTGGTTTATAATTAATGTTATCAAATAGAGTTTTCCTTGTTGGTTAGCTACTTTGAATTATAATTTGAAACTGTCAGGTTGTGGCTTCGATCTAATAATGCTTATTATATGTTTGTTTCTTTTGTATATATATTAAAAAATGTATAAAACAGTTTATTTGTATATATATTTAAAATATATATAAAACGATTTAAACAGATAAAATTTCAACCGAATCATTAACCTCAAACCATTTGTTTGACCGGTTCAACGACTTAAACCAATTTGACAACCTTAATTAATGAGGATTGCTAAAGTTCGCCCTAATCGCCCTAACCTAAAAGGTGAAAATTACTTATTTGTCCTTTATCTTTTTTATTATTAACAGGGCTCTAATTGGCAATCGCCCTAATCAAATAAAAAAAACCTTATTCTTTTCTTTTCCGGCTGCCTCACTTCGATCGTTTCTGAATTGGAAATTTTGATTATCTGGGGATACAACGATGTCCAATCCCTTGGAGTGCCTCACTAGACAGTAGACATTGGGGAACGACGAAAGGAGAGATAGGTCATCAGCTTCGGAGAATTCAGTGGAGACGAGAGAGCTGCTTCTGATGTGAATATGAAACATGGGAAAGATTCGTTCGCTTGCTGAAGCTCTTCCATAACATATATTTCAGATTGGGATTTAATTTGATATTGGTGGATGAAGGGAACTTCCTTTCCAGCTTTCCCAAAAAGTTGATGAATTAATTTCCCCTTTTGCAGGCACATCCCTTGCTATCTGAGATATAAACTAAAGGGGGAATTCTGCATCATCGACTACCACAACCCTCGCTCGATGCTTGTGCTCATGCTTTGCAGAGCAGAACGGTTATTACTTTGGACAGTTCTCTCAGTTGTCCTCATTTGGTTGCCAGGAGAATCGTATGTAAGTTACACTCTCGATCTTCAGATGCACAGACTTTGATGAAGCATCGGGGAGAAGGACGCCGGCAAAGGGGTTTGGAGAGGACTCTGAGAAGTAGGTCGGCGATGTTAAGGAGGATTTTAGGAGATTTTTTTTTCGTTTCATTGAAATGATTAGAGAAGGATAATTTAGTCGTATTATGTTTTAAAGTAGGGCGATAATTGTAAAACTAGCGCGACGTTTAGCCGTCCAGTTAATTAATACACACTAAAAGAACATTAACCATAAAAAAGTAAAAAGAAAAGCTACTGCACTTTTTTTATACTCCAAATTTTCTCATAAAACGGCAACATATCATAAAAGATTGGAAAACCCATTTCTCAAACTCTACAATAGTTTAGTTTGGCCCTGCGGTAGCTTTTTCAGAAGCAGCTTCTGGCTGAAGTTTTTAGATAAGTACTTTTAAAAAAAGCAGTTAAGTGTTTGGCTGTAAAACTATTAGAAGTGCTTTTTAATATAAGAGGTTGTGTAAAATGACTATAAAGGACTTATAATATAAAATATGAATAAAAATTCTAAACAATAAAAAGTAGTCAAAATGGATCTTGTTAGATTTCTTTTATATTAAATAATATGATTTTATAATTTATTTTATTTTTAAAATGATATAAATGAAATAAAATTATATTTTCTGAAATAAAATTTAATATATGATAAGGATAATCTTGTATTTTCAAAACAGTTTTTCGCAGAAGCTCCAAATTGGAGCTTCTGCTTTTATGTTATACAAAAGCGCTTTTCGACTTTTCAAAAGCCGAGCTTTTACAGGTGTTTAACCCTACTTCAGCTTTTGAACCCGAAAAACACTTCTAAAAACCGGGCCAAATATAGGGAATATATTGCAAGCACAATAACATGCCAATATCAAGTGTAAGAAATCGAGATGCTTTTCAATATTAATGCCAGAACTCGTTATAGCTCTGGAAGCTTGCCTCCTTTCATGTACACTTCAATCTGATCAATCCACAAAACTGCTTTTCTGAATGTCGTTTGGTATAAGCCTAGTGGTGAGTGACTAAGCATCTTGAGATTTGCTCCTAATTTGGTTCGTGGTTTATTAATGAGAAGAATAATTAGAACAGCTTTGAAACCCATCACTCCCTGTCTATAGTCTTTCCCATGCGTTGAAATCTTTCTCCAAGATAATTTCAGTTTGAAAATGGTCTAATTAAAGGCATGTCTTCTATACAAGAATCTAGGTTACAATGTACAAGTACAACACACTGGCGATGTCACATAACTAACACAAAAAGAAAAGGGAAAGCTTCCACCCTAGACACACTCTTTGCGAGTTCAGTATAACAGACTCTCAAAGTTCTTTCCTGTCAATGATAAGGTCTAAAGGGCACATTGAGTTTTATACTGAGACCAAACAAAACAACAGCTCCAGAATAAAACTCTGATCGCCCAGGGTTATGAATCAGCAAGAGGGCAAATATGCATCATGAAGACTTCACTTTCGAGCATGTACACGATGCAGACTTATGCTGGATATGGTTACTGCTTCTTTGAACCATGTCCTGCAGCAATTTCTTGGCTGTTTCGGCAGCAGCTTTATCGGAACCATCAACCCGAGAAGCAATGTCATAAACCATCTTCTCAATAACGGACGATGCTAACCTTTTTTCCTCTGGAGTATCTCTGAGCAAGTCAAGAAGCGTTCGCGCTCTCTCTTGTGATGTAGAGGTGCCTTCAGCTGTAAGGCGTAGAAGGCCCGGAATCGCACCTTCATTGAGGATGAGTCTCCTGTACTTATCTCGGTCACTCTGGCACAAAGAGAGCAAAGCACCAACAGCATGTTCCATGCTCACAAGCGATCCATCTTCGACTGTCTCTACTATAGTTAAAATCCCACCTTCTGAATCTGTTATAGCGGTTCGGCCTTCTTCTGATTTGGCAAGTATTTCGAGGAGTGCTGTGGCTTTCTCTGCAAACTTGGAGTACTTCTTGCATTCTTTGAGGAGGCTTATGAGAGGCGGAACTGCTTTGGGGTCGAGTATCAAATGTGAAGAGTTCTCTTCCGTGCAAGAGGACAGATTGTGAAGGGCTGTGACAGCGTCAACTTTGCCTTGCACGGAGCCCAAGGCGAGGATCTGGACAAGGAAATGTGGAGCTCCTGAAGCCGCGATGATTGACTTGTTAGGTTCAGCAGCTGAGAGTGTTAAGATTGCAGCTGTTGCTAGCTCTCTTAAGCTACTGGTCTGAAACTTGAGGATTTCTACAAGTGGGGGGATTGCACCAGCTGTCACGATGCTTACCTTGTTTCTGAAGCAACAAAAGAAACAAACACATCAGTAGGAGCTATATGTTGGGTAAAAGAAAATTTGAATGTTTCTTTTAGTAAGTAAAAGATACTGGGGAAAAACAGCTCAATAAACACATTGAAAACATAGAATACGAAGCTATAAGCATAAGTGAATTGCAGAAACAACCAAAAACTTAAGAGACGCTAACAGAAATAGGAAAGACGTTCAGATGAAAATTGAAAGTCCATTGCCAAATGGAGAATGTATTATTTCCTCTCTGGGAAAAGTGAACACCAACACTGGAAAGCTTCTGCTTTACCAGTACCTCAAGATGATGAAAACAGTAAAATGCTGGAAACAAAAACGAAGCATATCCACTGTGACGAAAAAATTAGCGTAAATGATGCAATTCGTCTACCAACTCTTCAGACTAACTGAAAGGTATGAACTTCAACTCACCATCTCTAACAAAATTAAACCTACGTTCTCCCAGTAAAACATGGAGGGCTAATTGCTATGCTAGAGCTCTTTCAACATGTTGAACAACTGGCAGTATAAGTTTAGTCACTCCGAGAGTCGTACTATAACATAAGGCTACAAGTGAGATCTTTCAACAACCCATTAAACCGAATAACGAAATGTTCAAAGCATACTAGCATAGTTTCCCTTTGGTTACTCTTACATTCTAAACTCAGCTCACCCTAGAAACAAATAACAGATTCCATCACCACTGAAACCACAAAGAATTGAGCAAGGAAACCAAAAACTTCAATCTCAATTCACCGCATTGAAATTCAGCAAATCAACTAGTTCCCCTAGTTCTTCATCATCAAGCTTCCATGACTCGAGTAAACAAACAGAGAAATCAATCCAAAACATAGGCACGAATCCAAAGATAATCTCAGAGCAGCTACAGACCTCTCATTTCTAACAGCAAGGTTGAGGAGAGCGAGGAGAGAAGCCTCACGAGCATCGAGATTGGGCGAGAGGAGCATGAGAATCAGCGGCTGGATGACTCCGGCGGCGGCGAATCTGGAGCGGGTTTTGGCAGAAGACGATTTCCTGACGAGCTTGCGGATGTCTCGCGCGGCTTGTATCTTGGTAGAGAGATCCCCTCCGGTGATGAGTTTGTCGGCGAGCTCGAGGATTAGTCTGTCTTTACGCAGATTCCAAGCTTCTTCGTCCCTGTCCTTTTTGGTCGCCGCCGATGGAGGTTCCGCCGGAGTCTCGTCTTCCTCTTCCTGCCCCATTTCTCTCTTCTCTGTCCTTCTCTCAATTCTGTGACTCCGGCGAGGGAAAATGGAAAGAAAGGGGATTCGGTGATATTTATTTCTTTTTTCCGGTCGTCTTTTGGATAAATTTTTCAGCTCATCCGGTTAAAAAAAAAAAAAAAAGTTAAATACACTTCTATATCCAAAACTTTCACGGTTGTGCCAATAATATCCAAATTTCCCGAAATACCACTTATATCCAATTCCTTCACATTCTTTAACGGTGTTTTTGGATATACAAGTGTATTTAACCAAAAATATCTTGAGAAATGGATAGATTTGGCAAAGAACAACTTTAAAACATGGATATAAGTGGTATTTCGAGAAATTTGGATATTATTGGCACAACAGTGAAAGTTTTGGATATACAAGTATATTAAACCTTAAAAAAACAATAAAATTTTAAATAAATAAAAAGTAATAAACAATGAGGAGTCTCGTGACTGATGAATGATGACTCACTCCCGCGGCCCGCGGGCAATCTTTCCTTCCATAACCAAACTTTTCAGCCATTGACAAATCAGTCATTGAACTTTTATTCCTTAGCAAACTTATAACAATGATCACTTCACTTCATCCATTTCCATCTTAAACAAGTCATTATTCGTATGCGCAATATGATAGGACTATTCACTGGGAAAAAAATATATGATCGGATTAAAAACAATAATTTGTTGGAAAAACGTATATGATTCATTTCAAATCATAATCATTACTCCGATGAAATGTTTCCTAACCTGGTGTAGCTAATCAGTGAAATTAGTGTTACATTAACACTAATATAAAATCACAACCCGGTAGGTAATGCTGTCCAGCTAAAGTAGTTTGTGGATTATTTATTTATCTATGACAGGAAGTTTGTCCATTATTTAATAGCACTTAACGCCAAATTGGGAATTCTCACTGTCTGGAAAATCTTTTAAAAAATATATATTTAGTTTACAGGAACATAATTATATTTATTTGGTGAAGGACTATGGAGTCTTGGAGGTTAGTTCTTGTTCTCTTATGAGTTTAGGGAATAATTAGGTAATTCTATTGTTTGTCTTTTGTGATTGCTCCTTTCCCGGGCCGCCTGCATCCACTTATAAATAATAATAATAATAATAATAATAATAATAATAATAATAATAATTAATAAATATATAGAATAATAGTTATTATTAAGGTGTGGAGGGAGCATTGAGATTACTGATGGAATTGTGACAAATATTAGTTTAATGAATCAAAATGTTCAAACATGAGAACTAAATTCCTTTTCCAATATAATGTATACGTGTTAGATGTGTGTAAGGAGGAAAACAGTCCTAAGGCTTAGTTGTCAACAAATGAGTCTAGTAAATTTCAATGAATATGTCTATGTACTTTCTTATGAGATGTAACAATAGAAAGAACACCAAAAAGTCTAGGGTTGGAAATGGTGTTGTCTGTTCCAGATCGGAGAGGTTGGAGTATAGACCACAGACCAGATCACAGACTATACGATCCAGACCAGACCACGTTTATGCGGTCTGGTCTGTTGAAAGGAGAAAGTTGGAAATCAAGCGATCTTATTGGAAATCAAGCTATCAAAGGGATTCTATCTTGGCTTACCTTTTCTGGGCGATTTCAAGTGCAACGGTCCTCTGCAAAACTTCTATAAATTCTCCCTGAGCCTTTCGAAGCAGAGTACTTTTGCAAGAAGTGGAATAGGACTAATTGCATAGTGGGTTAATCAACAGAGGCACAGGATCTGTTTGATTAACGGTGTAACGGGTCTGGGTTTTGGGATCCGGGTGACTTTTCTTTATTGTTCATTCTTGCTGTTCTTGAGTCTGTCATTTTCATTCTCTTGCTTGATAGGATTTATTAATAAAATTAGAGTCTCCTAGACTTCAGTGAAGTACTGAGTCTAGGACGAGGACGTACCCGTTAGATTGGGGAACCTCGTTAAAATCCGCGTGTGTTTTTGTTCCCTATCCTTTCTGCTATGCTTCTGCGTGCTCTGTTCCGTGCCTGTTCTTCGTCTGGTCTGCGTCTCCTGGAAAAGGAGGAAGCCGACTGATTCATATTGTGTTTGGGATGTTGAACAAGTGGGCTTGGCCCTAAGTCTGTTTCAGTTTTAATTTGGTATTTTCGTTGGGCCTCTGTTGGTTGGGCCTGGTTAAGAAGGGACGAGATAAAGTCTGTTGAAAAGACAAAGCTTGTCTTTTATCTGTCTCTCGTTTTCTTCCTTCCCATTCCCAAACCTTCGAATCCCTAATTTTCACTGACGCCATTTCTTTTCACAAGTGGTATCAGAGCTTACCCTTGAAGAAGCTCACTCCTGCCAAGGTCACGATCTAATGGCGACCAGCTCGTTCGGCCAGGCGACCCTGAATCATCTTCCGATCTTCAATGGCGCAAATTACACGGCTTGGAAGAAAAGAATCAAGCAGTTCATGTGGGAGATCGATGAGGAGCTTTGGCTCATAGTGCAAAATGGTCCTCTCGATATGGATCTGGCTGAGCAACATCTGTGGTCAGCTGCACAGAAGAAGAGTGCTCAGTTAAACCAGCGCGCCATGCATGTACTTCAATCGGCGATGACCACTGATGAGGCTGATCAAGTTGAAAACTGCGAATCTGCTCAGGAAATCTGGATCGCTCTTCAAAGTACTTACGAAGGTACATCTAATATTCGCGAATCTCGAATTGATCTTTTGGTTCATGATTATGAGTCATTCACTATGTTAAGTAATGAATCTATACACAAGATGTATTCCAGATTCACCATTCTTATAAACAAACTTAAAGGGCTAGGTCGTACGTTTTTTATGAAGGATCTTAATCGGAAAATTCTGCGGTCTCTACCCAGAGAGTGGTTGCCCAAACGGACTGCTATTGAAGAAGCCCGTAATCTAGCCACTCTACCTATAAATGAGTTGATAGGATCTCTGTTAAGTCATGAGAATGTTATTAAGCAGGTGGTTCAAGATGATGAAAAAAGAAGGAAAACTCTAGCTTTTCAGTCTAGGGCTATTGATTACGATTCAGATACTGAATTAGGAAGAGAATGAAAATGACAGACTCAAGAACAGCAAGAATGAACAATAAAGAAAAGTCACCCGGATCCCAAAACCCAGACCCGTTACACCGTTAATCAAACAGATCCTGTGCCTCTGTTGATTAACCCACTATGCAATTAGTCCTATTCCACTTCTTGCAAAAGTACTCTGCTTCGAAAGGCTCAGGGAGAATTTATAGAAGTTTTGCAGAGGACCGTTGCACTTGAAATCGCCCAGAAAAGGTAAGCCAAGACAGAATCCCTTTGATAGCTTGATTTCCAATAAGATCGCTTGATTTCCAACTTTCTCCTTTCAACAATCTCCCCCTAAGTTGGAAATAGCAAGTTGCCAATGGATCCTGCAAAACAACCACGAGAAAACCAAACAACACGCAGAAACCCAAACAGCACACACACACCTTTCAGGAAAGTTTCTTAAAAACCAATAAAGGATAAAATCCAAAGATCCAAGACCACAGCCTGGTCAGGCAAACCAACAAGTACTCATCCAAAGAGATCCAACAAGCAAACCCACACCTACTGCACTCTTAAAATAAAAACAGGAAAGACAAGAACCAAAGCTCCAAAGCTCCCCCTGAGATTAAGCTACTTCACCATCGGAATCAGAACCATAGAGAGCCTGAAGAGCTGCTGCAAACGAGGGCAGGGTTGGAGCAACATCATCATCACTGGAATCCGAGTCATTTGACTTGCTGGAATCGGAGTCACTGCTAATGATCAGGATATTGTTTGCAACAGCATCGCCATTATTGTTGAAAGGAGAAAGTTGGAAATCAAGCGATCTTATTGGAAATCAAGCTATCAAAGGGATTCTGTCTTGGCTTACCTTTTCTGGGCGATTTCAAGTGCAACGGTCCTCTGCAAAACTTCTATAAATTCTCCCTGAGCCTTTCGCAGCAGAGTACTTTTGCAAGAAGTGGAATAGGGCTAATTGCATAGTGGGTTAATCAACAGAGGCACAGGATCTGTTTGATTAACGGTGTAACGGGTCTGGGTTTTGGGATCCGGGTGACTTTTCTTTATTGTTCATTCTTGCTGTTCTTGAGTCTGTCATTTTCATTCTCTTGCTTGATAGGATTTATTAATAAAATCAGAGTCTCCTAGACTTCAGTGAAGTACTGAGTCTAGGACGAGGACGTACCCGTTAGATTGGGGAACCTCGTTAAAATCCGCGTGTGTTTTTGTTCCCTATCCTTTCTGCTCTGCTTCTGCGTGCTCTGTTCCGTGCCTGTTCTTCGTCTGGTCTGCGTCTCCTGGAAAAGGAGGAAGCCGACTGATTCATATTGTGTTTGGGTTGTTGAACAAGTGGGCTTGGCCCTAAGTCTGTTTCAGTTTTAATTTGGTATTTTCGTTGGGCCTCTGTTGGTTGGGCCTGGTTAAGAAGGGACGAGATAAAGTCTGTTGAAAAGACAAAGCTTGTCTTTTATCTGTCTCTCGTTTTCTTCCTTCCCATTCCCAAACCTTCGAATCCCTAATTTTCACTGACGCTATTTCTTTTCACATGGTCCGGTACGGTCTGATCCAGATAGACCATACTTAACCAAAAATTAACAATTTGATCAGTCATCACACAAAAAAAATTGAACCACTAGCCAAGAAAAAATTGTTTTTTCCTTCAAACAAATATTCCAATATACATGAATAATTTTGACACCATAAATCTAAGTAAATAATAAAAATACAAAGACAAAGCATTCCAACTTGTACCATAACATCATAAACATTTACATAATGTCATATAGAGACACGATCATCTCTACACTGTGGTGAAATGTGGTTGTGAATGAAGGAGGGGGACGAGATTCTCAAAATTAAGATTAAGACTTGGGTATCCTTGTGGAGTTGGGAGAGTGGTCGAGTGAGCTGCTAACATGTATTGAGAAGTCGGCAGGGTCCACGGTTTGGTCTGGTAAACCGCGGTCTAGACCAGACCAGACCAAGAAATTTTATTGTTTTTTAGAAGTGTCAACTCAATTGGCACTTCTAAAAACTACACTAAGCTCTAATCGTGAACTCAAAGCTTGTACTTTCAATTTCAGCTGCGCGCATAACGTGACTGAGCTCTTCTCTATGCTGAGAAACAAGAATTCACGAACAATGCTGTTTTTTTCAATTAATTAAAAGATTTTAGAGAACTCAGACAATCTACGAGGATAAGGGGTCGTCCCAATCATATCATACTCCAAACCATAAGCAAGCTAACCAATCGGTGCCTCTTAGTCTATGCTTCAAGATATAAACTTTGAATGAATATCAGGAACAAATTATGATTGGGGCTAATTCTGTAATTCACATACTACGATATGCTAGAAACTTGAGATGCGAATTGGGTTGTTCATTCAGTGACACGATAGGCCCTACTCCTCTATATCCTCTTACAGTAGTCCTACTAATGAATCGTGTTGTCCATTCAGTGGAAAACTACTCTATGAAGAGCAGTTTTCAGCAATGGCGGTGAGAGAAGGCCGCCAGCTGCGGGAATGGCCACGGCGATGAAGATTATCAATCCGCCGCTTTTGATTTGATGATGACAAAACCATAACAGTCGATCTCCTGCTGCCGGCGGAATCAACGCCACCGCCCCCGCGGGAGGAGGAATCATCCTCCTCCTTCTTCATCTTGCGACCGTCATCATCATTTTCATTACCTTTCCCCGCGCGCTTATTTTTCCGCCGGAGAGACCAGACGGTGCGACGCGGTACGAGGTAGAATTTCTGTCCGGGGACCAAAATCTCGTCGGGTCGAACCACCGGGTCGTCATCCTCCTCCTCCCAGGACCTGCGGAACACATCTGGCTTGGCCAGAACGAAAGAACGGCCGTGTTTCTCCAATATGGCCTTCGCCGGCGTTGCCATGTAGTAGCGGTCCACCGCCCCGCCGGGGCTCACGATTCTCAGCGCGGCTGCCGGCGGCGGTGGGGGAGCTGTTCCGGGGAGGAACCTCTTGACGCTCATAATTAATTAGAGGGAGGACGTAATTAACGATGTGGTAATTTTCCCTGCTCGTTAATTCTTTGGTTTGATAAGAGAACTAATCCCGATGAGATTAGGATTAAGGAGATGGAAATGTTTTTCAGCTTGAATTGAAGTTGTTTATGGGGATGAGATGGGACAATATGCCGATTACTTCAAGGAATTAGTGGAAATTTCATTAGGGGTGACAGCATTTTAATGGTGGATTTTCAAATGAGTATATGGTTAGTGAGTGTCAAGAACTAGTTGATCCCAATAACTCGAGTTGTTGGGAAAGGTTCAATCGTGGATCATATACCACAACACTAACACGCTCCCTCAAACGAAAGCCACTCACAAGGGCTTGAAGTTTGCACAGGTCTGAAGACAAGAATACCATGTACTTAACAAATGGGGGTCACCGGGAATCGAATACAAGACCTCTCGGTCACAGAAGGCTCTGATACCATGTCAAGAACCAGTTGATCCCAATAACTCGAGTTGTTGGGAGAGGTTCAATCGTGGATCATATACCACAACACTAACAGTGAGGACTGAGTAGCAACCATGGATTTGACAATAAATGAATTTCAAGAAATTTTAACAACTCACGAGAGATTATTTGATTTGCTTGATTAATTGATCATTGTGGTGTGGAACAAACACGAGAAAACATAAAATTATGAAAATTTAACGACATTATTATAGATTCAAACTAATAAATTTAAGTTCGTACCTCCCACTTATTTATTTTTTTACAAGCCATTGACTCATTCATCTAGCAACGATCACGGAGCCAAAAATCTGAACAAGGAGGCTGATTTTGAATTATTGTTGAGGGGCTAAAACCTTACCGAATACTCTATTTCTTAAATTTATTACGCAAATTTTATCTATATTTCAAAGTTACAGGAGGTTACAGCCCTTCATCACTTCAACCTATCTCCGCTCCGCCACTATCTCGAAACCCATCAAGCCAAGTTATGGTTTGTGCACAAGCACAACCCTATCTACTCAAGCATGTATTCTGAGAAGAATACGCCACTTCAATTTGATCAGCCAAACGACACCTAATTAAGAAAACAGGGTAGGGGATTTTGCCGGCAGTAATCAATCAATCACCATAGATGACAGTTTGAAAAAGCCACGGACAGATCAGAGGAAGATAACACCAATGTGGGTTTTTCCTCATTAATTTATACCATCCAAATGTGAATTGAGTGCAAATAATTATATGCTCAAGGACGGTTAATTAATAGTTGGAATTGGCATAGTTCTCCCCGAAGCCGACGACTGTGGGAGGGAATTGCTGTCTGTCTGTGTTTGACTGTTTTCGTATCTCCGTGCCGCTGGCAGGAGCACATTCTTGACTGCCGGTTCGGTTTCTCCCGTTTGGGGGAGCCAATGTCAAAGAAAGATACCAAATCCTTTATTCGTCGGGGGAGAATATTTTGGGGGAAGTGACAAACTCTAAGAAATTAGGAGCATGAGATAATTTCGGCCCTGGAGCGATGTCGATGATCGAAACGATTGCGACACTAATCGTGTGTGATTGATATATGTGATCAAAGTGTTTCAAGGCTAATACGAAATATCACCCTGCCTAGAACACCAATCTTGTAAGTTGCACGACACACCACCCCCAACTTATCATGTCTGAAATCCGAACTACCAAAAAACGTGGATCGGTAACAGAGTTAGAAATTCAAACAAGGGGATTAAAAATTTACGATCGAAGAATCTGAATTGACGAGCAATGTTAAGTCTCTCCTACCATAAACGTGGCTTTGCTGGGGACCAAAAATCAATACTCATGTGCTATATCAGTTGGAGTTAAATGGGTACTAATAATCAGTTGTGGAAAAGGGTGTGCAACTATTCAGTCCGGACCATTTAGAATAAAGAATCGGACAAACAGAGCATTCGGCACCATTCAGTCCGATTCAAACGTCACTTCGATCCATTTTTCTTTAGTATTTAGGACCATACCCTATTATATACAATTCGGTATAATCTGATCCAGGTGTCAATTTCAACCGGTGAGGGACAAATTATTCCGTACGAATTTAGCTAGAGGTACCGGAGATTTCTCCTGCAACAGTCAAAGCAGATTTTACAGCTCAATTCTTCAACGAGGGGACAGGTTAAGAATCTTTGCATAAAGGGCAGAGTTTTCTTTCTTCCTTCTTCTGTAACCCCTTCTTCAACGTCCAGCTACCACCACAGGCAATTGCAGTCAACCTCAAATGCAATGAAGCGAGTTTCACAAACAGTAACCAAATCATAACATTCAAACATCACTTGAAACTTGCTATCAAAAATTCACCTTTACAGCAAAAAAACCAAGGGAACAAACTGAGAGCAAATGAAACAAAAGATTCCCCACCAGCCAATCTATATCTTGCCCCTTCCAAACCCATACCAGAAAGAATGGAGAACTCAACAGTGAACCCTTAAGAGAGAGGAGAGACTAAATACTGTTCATCAAATACTATCACAACTAAAAAATAAGAAACAACGGGTAGAAAAGGAGAGGGATAACAGAAACAAGCTTCTACAAAAGAAGCGACTACATCTTGCCTACTCAGCTAAAGCTTTAAAAATTGATCAATCTGTTACAAGACCTCCCCACTCACCTTTCTTTTCTTTTTCATCCCTTCCCACCCAGAAGCAAAATTAGAAGATCGATACTACTTTGGCTGTTTCCAGTCTTCCTCTCCTCTAGATGTACACATTGTTAGAGCCCCCAATATAGTCAAAAAAAAATAACTTGTTGTTCATATCTTCCTCCTGCTGGTTTTCCCCTTCTTCCTTTGAACTCTAAAAACTCATTTAAGTTTTCCGAAAAGAATGACCCCCCTTTGCCTGAAACTATAATACTCCGCAAAAAGTAAGTTTCTTTTTCAGCTCAATAGTTACTCGGCCAGTTCACCTGTTGATGCTGAGGCTGCTGCTGCTGCTGCTGGTAGACACTGGCAGCGGGTCCCCCCATGTCGACTCCTCCAGCCATTGCTTGAGACTGTTGCAGTAGTGGATGATGGACTCCTGCAGCCGTTACTGCTTGAGCTGGGTGGTGGTAGATTCCAGCAAAAGTTCCATGGCCAGGCTGCGTAGGGGCAAAAGTCACGTGCTGGCCTTGAGGAGGGAGGTTATAGAAGGAGCTTGCTGGCATTGTTGATAGGTCACGACCTGGAGCAGCAATCCACACGGCAGAACCTTCACTCTGTTTGACAAACCAAATTCATCAGCATTTTAGAACTTAGAAGTAATTCATCTCAAAACAGAAAGATCATTTGGAATGCCAAAAGCAGAACCAGGACAAGTAAACGTTGAAATCACCCTAACCAAAACCCATACTCATAATCATCATTCTAGATGAAACTTAAACTCAGTATTCAGCAGGGTTCCTGTGTTGAAATCAAATCTCGGAAGGACAAATACTATATTCCCGTTAGGCATATCATTTATCAAATATATGAAATGGCAGCCTCCATTTTTTATCGCATAAAAAGGTTCTGCAGGGCAACCCATAAGTGATTAGAAACTTGACTTTCATGAATCGAAGTAACTAAAATACCTGCTGGCCAGACATGTAAACATTACTTTCTTTGAACTGGGATGCACCAAGATCCTCATTTGTAGTTGAATTTCCCCCAGCTGGTTGAGAACTGGGATTATAACCAGCTGGGGTTGAAGCATATGGGCCGTAGCCACTAGCCATTCCGATGTGCGTCGAATTCCCCACATTAGTTCCCGGTTTATACTGTGGCAGTGAATATTTGACCCCTGCTGCAGCTGCAGCTGCAGCTGGTGGACCTGGAAACACATTGCCAGCTTGCACTTGCTGGGGAAATGCACCGTTACTTAAATACTGATGGATGCCTGGTGGTGGAACATAGAATGGAGAGAAGTAGTGGCCATAGGGAATGTAGTTTGGGGGATAGTGGGGCATGTGCAACCCAGTTGGTGGACGGAAAACTGGTACTGGTTGATTCAGGGAGAGGGAGCTCTGCATTAGCCCGGCAGTTTGAGTTGCCAGGGGAGTTGGACCTCCTGTAGACATGACCAATGAATTTGTGCCCTGCAAATGTCCAAGAAAGAGCTGAACTCAGATCCAATGAAACACCAGAAAATCACATACAAAAAGATTTTAGACGGCAACAAATAAAAGATCAAATATGCAAGTAAGAATCAACTAGTTCAGCTACTCAAAAATGATAATCTTAACCCATACGAAACCAGATTTTAGTGCAGGATACACTGTAGTATGTGTAAACATCAAGTGACCGATATGGGAGTGCCTGTTTTAGTTTAAAAAAGTGGACATAAAAGCTGAAACAAACAGCCTTATTCAATCCAATGTAGTCAAAATCACGCTTTAAAACTTAAAAACTAACGTTTTTACATGTCTAGGTCACCAAAACGCTTCTATGCAAAATCCCAGTTTTTATAGCTAATGTAATTAAAAACGCGTTTTAAAGCTTAAAAACTTACGATTTTGACTACATTGATTCAATCCAACTCCTCAAATAATGATCCAGGTAGACGTCACAAATTTTTAAGAGCTAAAAGTCACCTCACTAAAATGAAACTACCTCCATAGAATCATGCTGACCTGGATGATCAACAAAGCTCAAATAGAGATCAAACTACCAATCCCCACTAAAAAGTAACCAGTGCTACTACAATGATCATATTGCTTCAAGTAACAACAATTTGCCGAGGTCTGTATGTTAATACCTCTTGAGGAGACTGGGAAGTGTGTGTAGGTAACACTGCAACATTCCCATTGTACTTGGCAGCAACTCCAGGAGACGGGAAAGGAGAAACACGGCCATCGCCCTCCGCACCAGAACGATAAAATTGTGCATAGTAACTTGCTGGATCAAATGGCTGTTGGACCTACAGAGGATCCACCAACATAAACATTAGGAGAAACTAAGAATTATCCTTGTATCACAATTATAGTAACTTATTTGAGGCATGTTTTACTGTGTTTCATTATTGACATCAAGCAAATATCCAAATGAAGAGGAAAAAATATGACTGTCTCGTTTAACCATAATTAGTTGGGCTACATTCTAGGATGTGTGTGCAGCTTTGCTCGTCTTTGAACTTTGTCGGTAACACTAGCAATGTACAGCATTCTCTAGTGCACAATAACAGAGCAGCCAAGGAGAATTCGAGAAATATAAATGGATTCAAAGCACAAAAGGAAAGACTAATCAAGAATGAAAATTAGAGTAAATGTGATAAGCCAGGCAAGTGCCTGGGCCTCTATCCCTAATAACTTTTATTGCAATAGCTATAGGAACTACCCATGGAGACATCATTTCATTGTGTCAAAATCTAAATAAACCTGGGCGTCCCTCAACGACACAAGAAGCTCAATCTTGAAAGTTTTCCCTTTAAGTGACTATCAAACCACCACATTAATATAAGACATACAGGTCAGAAGGCTTACCACAAAGCTAGGCAGGCGAGAAACATCACGCGGTTGAGATTCTGAGTTTTCAAACTGTGGAATCTGGCCACCTATCACAGGATGAACAATACCAAAATAGCTTGGGGGAGCATGAACCCCCGAGTAAGGATGAGCAGCAGACATCGCACTTTCTTGCTTGCCCTCGCTATAATCAGGTGCTGCGCTGGCTGAAACATCACCATCGTTTTGCAAATCACCAGACACAGGAGAAGGTGACTGTGGTTGTGGCTGGTCAGGATAAGTTCCCTCAGCATCTACAACTTGACTGTTGGGAGCCATGTATAGCAAGTCAGCAAAACTATGTAAGTGGAGGTGACAAGACAAATGCTGAACATGCTACAGCCTATATTTGATAGCACCAGTCAATGTAACTAATAATAAAGTCCATGGCCATGGTACTGAACCACAGACCAATGTTATCCAAGTCAAACTAAAAATTTACATATTTAAAACACACCTTGCTACCGGCTCCTCCAGAGCTTCTTCAACGCTGTGTGTTGCTTCGGACAAGGGAGTGGAGCTTTTTTCACTCTCGGGTCCACTAGCATAGCTTGAAGTTACTCCAAAGTTAGCATCAAAGCTTCCAAAGCTCAATTTGTTTCTCTCCGATTCCGGAACATGGATATGGTTTGGAATAATAACATGCTGTCGCTGTGGAAGAGGAAGAGGAAACTCCAACTTCTGCAAGTTAGCACTTAAATCATCCATATCACCTGCTGAAGCTGGCTGTGCTTGAGGAACTGATTGAGGAACAACTTCAACCGGTGCATTAGGAACCTCTGTAGAGCTAGTTATAACAGAAACCTGGCCTGCAGTGGAGTTTGTAGGTTTTGGTTTCCACTCCTTGGTAGAACCAACTGTTGAAAACGCAGAGAGATAGTCAACTACCAAACTAAAACTAAATAAACAAATAGCAACAATGAATAGGAATCTTGTAGAAACACTGCACAGAATTATCCATAACAATATATGATGCAAGGTCATATCTACACCAGCAGTAGATTAGAAAACCATGTGTTTTCAGTCAAAAGAACTTCTTCAGCAAATAATACAAGTGGTGGAAGTAGGTGGAAGTCGGCACGAGAGAAAATTAATAATAAAAATTATAAAAAAAGGAATGGTGGGGTTGGAAAAAAGTTTAATGGTTCCACCTGAGCTCTTTTTTTTTTTTTTTCTCCCATGCATTACTTTCATACTCACCAAGAGAACCTATAAAGCTTAAAGGACACATATTATAGCCGCTAATTTTCAGTTGAAACCAATGTGCACTGCTTCTGATATACATTTAACTAAAACTCGACTCAGAATGTCATGCAACCACACCAACAGGTAATTGACAGGGGAAATGCGTTGAAGGATCAAATGGAAGGCCAGCTCGTTACCTTTTTGAGGACCAACCACTTGCTGTGACCTACTGCCATAATTAGCGGATGGCCTACTACTAGAAGAACCAGCATGGACTGATGCAGATGAGGGTTGAGAAGATTCACTAAACTGACTCTTCCCCGCAACTTGGGGTTTGTTCGAAATCTTCACTGGAACTGCAGAAGAGGCAGGCAGTCAGAAAGCAAACGTTTAGTCATAATACAGCATATTACATCAGCAAAACTTGGATCAATGGTGTAGGATACTCACCTGGTTTCTCAGAATTGGGAGCAGAATTCGTATCAGCAAGAGTTCGATGGCTCCCCACTTCACGCTTAATTGTACCCACTGTACCAGCAAGCCTTGAATCATTAGATGGCACTAGTACTGGATCTGATGAAGAGAAACAGACAGTCGATGAAGATACTGCAGTCACCGACACTGATGCACTGCTACTACTTGGCACCAGCTCCACCACTGTGTCACCAGTTCCATGAGCAACTACAGGGGTTTTATCAGCAGTAGTTGACTCCCCTTGTTCACTAGCAGTACCAGAGGCTACACCAACAGGACCGTTGGCAACAACAGCAACAGAGCTGACAGAAAAAGAGATTATTAGGAGAAACAATCACTTAAGAACAGATTACCAGAAAAACAAAACGTAAATTTTAATACAAACAACTTACATTTCAGGGGTAGTTGCGTCTTTAATTTTCTCCTGGGAAGCTGGTGCTGATGAGCCAACACCTTTCTCTGCAGGTTGGCTGGTATTATTTTCCCTTCCTGGGCCAGGAGCTCGGCCACTGCCTCCATCTGGAACAAGGGTGTTGCATCATCAAGTTATGCATTTAAGTAGCACACACAATCAAAGGAAATATAACGACTTAGAAGCACATCAGTACTTGTCTATCCTGTATTTCTACAAGGAGAACTTCAGGCTCAAACCCACTATATCTACAGATCAATGAAAATAATCAAACACGATAATTACTGATGCCGCAACAAATAGCGGCCTTTGAAGAGCAACTGAGCACTTCAATAGCGGCACTTCTAGCTAAAATAGAAAATCATACAGCAAAAATGGGTTTTATGATTCTTTACCATGAGAGGAATAACGAGGAGTATAGTTTGACCGACCACCCCTACTCCCCCGCCCTTGGGTGCCGGACCTCCACCGAGAATCTCCTGCCTCTTTATTGTTAACATTCTGCAAGAGTTTGAAAAAGAAAGATTAACATGTATCAAAATGACATTGAAGAGATTTGACAGCAACTTCACAGAAAATTGTTCCAGTTCCAGAGGGCTTGAAACATTTGAAATCCAGTAACCTCAAAGAAGTGAGAAATCACTTCCTAGCCCTCTTTGTCCAGAATTTTCAAACCCAGTTAACATTCAGGAGAGATAAATGACACAATCGTAGGTATCATACAAGAAGTAGCTATGTTCATCAACCTAGAGTCACTCACAGAATCTTGCACCCTCTATTAGCACAGTGTGCCCACTTATCCATCCCTGAAGTCACTTTCTTTCCTGGATTCACAATTAGAAATACAGGCACAAACAAAAAAATCATGATTTCCCTACTTCACTTGCTAAGATTACTTTCTAAGTTCACCTGAAAACATATCGTCGGATTGAAACACCCCAAAGCGTGATGCAATCTTATATAAAGCCAACTACAAAACATTGGGTGTCTGATAAACGTAATGTTTCATTTGAACTTGAAAGAATACCTCTTTCTTTTTGTCGCGCTTCCTTTTGACTTCATGAAATGGGTCTGCAAAAAGAAACAGACACCAACATCTAGGTTATGAGAAAGAAGCAACAAAAAAAAAAAAGTAAAGCAGACCAAAAAAGAAACAAAATCATTTGCAAGTTGCAAGGTAATAGCCAATAGGAGTCCTCTACACTCCATCAATTCAGTCAATAAATATTTGTACAAAATTTACAAGGTAAGCAAAGAAGCATTCAGAGCAAAAGGTAATGTTCTGAGCTCAAGCAATGTCAGTGAGAACGGGTAAGAGACCAAGGTTGTCTTTGGAGCTCACCGGCCGCTTAAATCTCACACTTTATGCTATGACTAAGAAATCCTTCCAACTCAGAAACATTGCTAGAAGAAAATCGGAAAGCAAAGGGGTAGGAGAGGCAGGGTTTCCCGGAGGGTAAGTTTCAGCTCCGCAAAGTCTAACCAGAAAGTAAGGAAGCATAAACATAAAGGAGAATGAACCCACGAGAACCCATGTTAGAAAAAACAAAGACCTAATTGGAGACCTACTCTGGAACGACCCCAAATCCCGAAACCTAAAAAATGGAGTCAAAATCCTCAGACAGCGAGTGTATGGATCGCGGCAAAATAAAGAGCGAAAGCAATACACTCCGAATCAACGGCACAACGACAGGCGAGAGTAGAGACGGAAGAGAGCGTCAGGAAATGAGCGGGAAGGAAGCTTTACCGAGAAGGAGGAGCTTCTGGGTGGTTTCGTTGGGATCCATGGAACACTCCTTGAGCATTGCGTAAATTTCTTCATCACTATGATTCCCTGTGATCTCCTTTATGTTCTGGATCGTCTTCCTGACGCTGCCGGGGATTGAAACCCTAACCCCACCACCAGCTCCGCCGCCGCTCATATTTCGAAGCACAGCAAACCCCAGCAGCCGAAAATAAACTTCCCTCCAAAGTTCTTTCCCCCGCCTTTCTCTAAACCTGAAAAGGGCGCCGCCGGAAGAAAGAGGTGAAATCCCTACGGAATACGCGCGAAAACGGGAAGACAGATTGGGGGAGCTGGCGGGGGAAGGCCGGCGAGGGATTTGCTCGATTTGAATTGATCTTTGGAAGGAGAAGAAGAAGAAGTGCTAGAAAATATTAAGAAACGAGAAAGAAAGGAGAGCACAAAACGAAGTGTGTTTTTCCTCTTTTTCCCCCTGTTTTTATTTTTCCCCTTTGTCTATATGCCTTCTTTCTTTTTCCCTTTTTGATTTTTAATTGGTTTATATTACTATGTTTTGTTTGAAGATTTGAGGGGTAGGGTTTATTTGGTGGGTTTTTGTTGGTAATGCATTTTGCTATTTTACTAATTTGCCCCTATGTTACTCTTTCATTTTTTGGTTTTCATTTTCTTAGTCTTTGGATGATGGAGCATCTTCTTGTAAGCATCAAACATGATGGGGCATTTTGGGGATTGGATCGCATCCAACGATTCGAGATATGTCACACTAGTGTTGGTGAAGGTCCATCTGCATCGTAGGTTTACCCCGAGAAAACTTTTAAGGTAAGAAGTTAATAATATTTTGAATGTCAAGTAGAAAAGTAAAACACGCCTTTATTCGTGTCAACTATCTAATGGGGATAGTTAATTCGGGAGGTTAGACTTTTAGGAATATTCTCTTACACAGTAAGTAACCGAAACCGGGTGAGACAAACTTATTCAATTTCTTACCATTGGGGCATGCATGGCGTAGTTTGCTTACTGGAGTCCACTTGTATAATAACCACGAACACGTAGTGTGATGGTTGGCCAGCTTATTGCTTAACCATGTGATTAAGAGTGCGACTCCTACTCATGTGACTTCCATGATACACCACTATCGGTTTTGTAGTTTTACGGTTAATGATTATGAAATTACATACCAACAAGCCAACCTTATTATTAATGTTTACGATTATATTGTAAACAATGTTAGGGTATTCTTGATGATTATGAAATTATTTTCAACGAGGTTGAATGAATTACTAATGGTGACGATCTTAGTTATAACGTTGTTCGACCATTATTAGCGATAATGAAATCATTCTCAACGATGTCACTCTTATTATTGATTGATGCATAGTAAACAAGTGATAAAATCCTAGAAATGTCTAGGGTCATATTCCAGAGGATCTTTTGATAGTAACCACTCAAATTAAAACTTATGCTTGATATAACAATGCAATGAAAAGTAAAAAACAACGGCTTGAGCTACCCTTTGCCGAAATTTAATCTACTAAAGCAAGTAAAAGAAACAAAGCAAACAAGTAAAGATTATTGTTTAGGTAATGTTATCTTGACAATCAAGAATACAATATCATCAACAAGATACTTATATACTTCATTTATTATGATACTTTATCCCTTCCACAAATGCATTCTAAACCCAGTTTTCGCCACACACGAGGGAACATTAGCTAGATAATGCGTGTTTTCGCTTCATGACATCAACTATCTAATAAGGAACAAGGAAGTAAGGATAAGAGTAGTTAAGTGTGGGCCTCTTGAGCCATAACATAAGGTTTGTAGCATTGGAGACCTAACAATCAAGCATTGACCCCATGTATACATGCATAATCGCATCCCATTAAACAGACATACATGAGGCAATGAGATATCACAAGAAAGTAGTTTCCTAACATCCTGGATGATATTATAAACAACACATATAGTAGCACACAATAGATCCATACGCATATAATTGCAATAGCATTTCATTGAATCATAGAAAGAGAATATGAAGACATCCCTAAACAACTTTTTTGAATAACATAGAATTCACATCCCTAAACAACTTTGAGCTTAGCTAACCATAATAGAATAGGAAGACATCACGAATGATAGAAGCATCGATAGTGAAGACCTCCTCGTCGACCTCCAGCAGAGATTCTTCTTCTCTTTGTGACTGTCTAACTCGTGCCCCTAAGGCAGAGTGTTGGAGGGTGTTGTCTATCAGTTGTAAGATGTGTCTAAAACCTATGGCATAAGCCCTTATTTATACTAGTTACAAAAAGGGGTAATATAGTTTTTTCCTTATAAAGTCGACCGAAACCTTCCTTATATAGCTTGAACTCGGATTCTATGACTTAGTGATGAAGCAAGAAGCTTATAAAACTTGAGATTCGAACGACTCTAATACTTGTCCATGGGTCACCACTAATCCCTTCTTTAGATTGGGCTAAGACTTCCTCTAGTGGACTTCCTTTGGGCTCTAGTTGAGACTTTCAGAAGACTTCCCCTCCATTAAGCCTCGTCTTATGGATGAAATACTCGTTTATCTTTCTAAATCTGCTCCTTAGTTCCTCCATAGTATTCCATGCTTTGATTCAAATTATCCTAGGTTGTGTTTTACCTTGAAGAACACATAAAAATATAAAAAATACATTAATACAAAAACACAATCTAGGTAAAACAACTCACTGATCAAATAGTTACGATATCATATAAAATTAAGTAAAAACTACTAAATATGCATTGATAGAAGGGGGAAATGTATCAATAATGGGAGTGATAAACATTAAAAATAGAGTGTTATCAAAATTACCCCACACTTGAACTTTGCTTATCCCCAAACAAATACAACTCAGAAAAACTACTAAAGATGCATTGATAAAAAGGGAATATGTATCAATAATGAGAGTGATAAATAATATAAATGGAGTGTTATCAGAAATACCTCACACTTAAATTGTTTGTCCCCAAGCAAACACAACTCACAATCATACAACTCAATGAAAACTAAAAAGAATCACTCAATCCTGATCTTCGGTGGTGGATCAAACGCAAACTTACACGGTCAATAATAGTACGAGAGAATCGTAAGTCATAACCACATCAACATGCAAAAATACCATGTAATTCCAGCTCACGGTTAAACAACTAGTCATGCATTAGAGTCTCAAACACATAGGATGAAGCTTTTAAAAAATGATTTTAGCTTGATAATCGGCTTTAACATATTGAATTCTTGGACTTTATGTGATTATCCATGGTATGTTTAAGCCGATTGGTGCTATTTTAGGGCTCCCTAACCCGAGAATGGTTGAAAAACCATTACTGCCTAGTGCCATGAGTTTGATGTATTACAGGCAGTGTTATTAAAGCCGAGCCGAGCCGCTCGGCCCGACCGGTAAAACCGCCACCCGGTCACAAAACCGGCTCGGAACAGTCTAAAAGTCATTCCGGTTTTATGTAGAGGTTGGTGAGCGGCCGAGGCGGTTAACCGTTCGAGCCGATCGAGCCGCCCGTCCGGTTTTTGCCATTCAGCACTAAATTTAATTAACAAAATTGTAGACAATTGAAATAAACCAAAAACGTTGGGCTCTCAAATTGAATCTTTATTTCCATTTCACAATTTCGAAGGAAAGAGATGAGCTCTGATTAAGAAATGTCCACTATTTATACTGATAACATTTATTAAACACCGATTCCTTAACGGTTTTTAAACGGTCTAATACCGGTTGGACCGCTAAAGTGCGAGTCGTTCGCTTTACCGGGTCATGCTCCGGTTCGGTTCTGACAACATTGATTACAGGTGAAGAAAACACGAAAAAGAAATTGCACTGGCAAACAATTCTCGAATGCTGGGCTTAAAGCCCAGCTAGATGGGGATTAATGACACGGACCTGAGGAGAATTACTTGGACCGAGGAGGAGAGGAGACTTCACTTTTGGGACGAGAATTCTTTGGAATGAATTGGGCCGGGGACTTTGGAAAAGGCAGGTGGCAGCGGAATTATAATTGGGCCAAGGAATTAAATGGCAGAAGGGAACTTGATTCAGGAGGGGAGGGATTGAATTATTGGAGAGGAACGAAAATCTCTGGAGGAAAATAGAGAGGCGGCAATTAATTGGGGGGCGGAACTTTATTATTGCGGGAGAGATTATTTGTTGTGGGTGGAGCGAATTCCTTGGGAGAAAGAAAGAAAGCGCAAGGCAGCAACAGAGCAAACGCGACTAGTCGATTCTCAATCGGCGATTGAGATTTCCTAGGCTACCTGAGCTGAGTTCAACGAGAGCGATTAGTTGGTTGGATTCTCTGAACCAAAATAGTTGTTATTTGTTGATTTAGACATGATGAACAAAACCCTATCGATTTATCTTAATTTCGTCATGAACTAAACCCCAATTTCTGGGGGGAACACCATAGGATGTAGCTATCTCTTGATTTGATAGATTGATTTATGATTCTTTTCTTCCAATCTCTATTGCATGAAATTACTTAATGCTTTGTGTTGACTGGCCACCAATACATTGATTTGTTGTTAATTAGGTTATTAGCGACAGTGAAACCCTATTAACTGAACATATTTCATGTGACATAGTAACTGTTTGAGCCTAACTGGGTGTAGGAGGGAGACTCGGGGAAATGGGTCAAGGAGAGTAAGCAATGAGGGATTAATCGTCGATAGAAGAATTGAGGAGATTACAGGAAGGATTGAGAGAGAAATCTTTTAGAGAGAGAAGTTAATGATTTTAGAGATAGAGTCCGAAAAATCGATCCCCTCACCCACCGGAGTAAATGCCATATTTATAGGCTACATGCTGGTGGGTGAGTGGTTGGGTTACAAGTGGGCACAATGATGTGACCACTGACATGACAGGGACCTAGGCCATGCTTTTAGGACCCTGATGTGACTACTGACATAGCAGGACTATACATAGGACTGTGATAGTGACTGCCCGACGGGTGACGCGGCGCCGCTTCTATAACTCCTCGACCAGGGCCCACGCCTGTCCCAAGCATTGTCGTTCAGTGTTTTGCGCGCGCCTCTTCAGAGGTGGCTTTGTCCAGGACGCTTGATTCCGGCGTGACTCGCGCGCTTACCCTTGGCGCGACTCCTTAGTGCTTCTGCCGTGGGGTGCGATTCGAGTCACATGCCCAACAATTGCCCCCCATCAGGGGGTATTCCGTGAATGCCCCCTGTTTGATCTTCGTGTGGTTGACTCGGATTCGCACAATTCCGTCCTTTCCACGCCATTGACCGAGGTGGACGCTGTCCGGTCTCTGCGTCATCGTCGTGCTCCCAGTGACGCGCGTTACCTTGAGAAGTTGGTGTGTCATGCCCCCCTGATGTGCGCGTTACCTCGAGTCGCGCTTGACGCGTGCCACTTTGAGAAGTTGGTGTCATGCCCCCCTGTTGTGCGCGTTACCTTGAGTTGCGCTCGTAGATTATGTTCTCTCGTTGGTGCGCATGCCTCCCTGTTGTGCGCGTTAC